ATGAGGCCTACCCACAAGCTGTTTGAGGTGCCTCACCTATAGACTCCCCAACTGGCCCATGGGCACCCCCAGTGCTCTGTGTTCTTCACTCCCCAACCCCCTTGTTGGCTCTGCATTTGTGCCCCCTGGACGTTAAGTGTGAGTCTTTGCATATGGTTTGTAAACACACACAGTCAGCCGGATTGACTCTGCAGGACTGGGAGAAGGCACATAAATGAGCATTCAGGGCACTGTCCTAGGGAAAACAAATGGGAGACTCCCAGCACCTGGCCTGGCTTTGCAGTGTCAAGAGAAGGCATACTATCTTAAGAATCCCCCTTACTCCTAGAGAGAACAAGAGGGGTGGAGTGGGTGCATCTATAGAAAGATCTGGAAGAGCCTCAGAATCTGTAGCCTGGCTGACTGGTGAAGGTGTTTTTCTCCTAAAGCTAGTCAGTAAAGACGGGAGGAGGTGCCTGCTTCAAATATAAAGATAGCAACGTAAGACTTCAGGAAACATGAAAATCAAGGAAACATGACACCAACCAAAGGAACAGAATAATTTTTTAGTAACTGATCCCAAAGAAATGGAGATCTACAAATTGCCTGACAAACAATTCAAATAATTGTTTCAAGGTAGCTCAGCAAACTACATTAGACTACAGATAAAGAACTCAACAAAAGTCAGGAAAATAATACATGAGCAAAAGAAGATGCTCAACAAAGAGATATAAATAATTTTTTAAATTCTGAAGCTGAAGATACAATGAATGAAATGAAAAATGCAATACAGAGCTTCAACAGCAGAATTGATCAAGCAGAAGAAAGAATTTGTGAACTCAAAGACAAGTCATTTGAAAGTATCCAGCCAGAGGAGAAAAAAAATGAATAAAAAAAAATTTTAAAAACTTATAGGATTTATGGGACACCATCAAGAGAAATAATATACAGATTAAGGAAGTTCCAGAAGGAGAAGAAAGAAATAAAAACAAAAAAGCTTATTTAAAGAAATAATAGTTTAAAATTTCCAAATATTGGTAGTGATATGGCCATCCAGGTACATAAGGCTTAATATTCAACACAAAGAGGACTTCACTGAAATATGTTATAATCAAATTGTTAAAAGTCAAAGTCAAATGGAGAATTTTAAGAGAAAAGAAATTCATCATATAAAAGGAAACCCTTATTAGACTACCAGTGGATTTCTCAGCAGAAACCTTTCAGGCCAGGAGAGAGTGAGAAGATATATTCAAAGTGCTGAAAAAAATAAACTGCCAACCAAGAAGATTTTACCCAGCAAATCTGTCCTTCAGAAATGAAGTGATCAGGCAAGGTGGCTCATGCCTATACTCTCAGCACTTTGGGAGCCTGAGGCAGGGGGGATTGTTTGAGGCCAGTAATTTGAGACTAGCCTTGGCAACAGAGTGAGACCCCATCTCTACAAAAAATTAAAAAATTAGCTAGGTAATGCTGAAATAAAAAAAAAAAAAGAAAAAAAAATTAGCTAGGTGTGGTAGTGCAGGCCTGTAGTCCAAGCTATTTGGGAGGCTCAAACAGGAGGATCATTTGAGCCCAGGAGTTCAAGACTACAATGAGCTATGATTATGCCACTGCACCCCATCCTGGGTGACAGAGCGAGACCCTCTCTGAAAAAAAAAATGAAGGAGATATAAAGACTTTCCCAGACAAACAAAAACTGAACGTATTCATTACCACTAGATCTGCCTTACAAGAAAGCTAAAAGGAGTCCTTCGAGCTGAAATAAAAGTATGATAATTAGCAACACGAAAATATATGAAAGTATAAAACTCGCTGGTAAAGGTAAGTACATAGCCAGATTTCAAATACTCTAATACTGTAATGATGGTGTGTAAATCACTTTTAACTCTGGTACAAAGGTCAAAAGACAAAAGTATCAAAAATAACTGTGGGTAATAATTTTTTAATGGATACACAATATAAAAAGAATTAAATTGTGACATTAGAAACTTTAAATGGTGGGGAGAGTAAAAGTGTAAAGTTTTTTATATGTGACTGAAGTTAAATTATCAGCTTAAAATACACTGTGTAACTACTAGATGTTTTATGTGAGCTCTATGGTAACCGCTAAGCACAAATCTCCAGCAGATACACAACAAAGAGAAAGGAATGGAATCACACTACTATAGAAAATCATCAAATCATAAAGGAACACAGCAAGAAAGGAAAAAAGGAACTACAAAACAGTCAGAAAACAATTAACAAAATGGCAATAGTAAATCCTGACCTATTAATAACTACTTTATAGATAAATGGACTATACGCACAGAGTGGCTCAATGGATAATAAAACAACACCCGACTGCAGCCATGTGTCACTTAACAACAGAGATATGTCCTGAGAAATGCATTGTTAGACGATTTTGTCATTGTATGAATATCATAGAGTGTACTGACACAAACCTACATGGTATAGTCCACTAGACACCTAGGCTATATGGTACAGCCTGTTGCTCCTAGGCTACAAATCTATACAGCATGACACTGTAGGCAATTGTAACATTATGTTAAGTATTTGTATATCTAAACATAGAAAAGGTACAGTAAAAATACAGTATGAAAGATTAAAAAATGGTACACTTATATAGGGCACTTACCATGAATGGAGCCTGCAGGACTGGAAGTTGCTCTGGGTGAGTGAGTGAGTGAGCGGTGAGTGAATGTGAAGGCCTAGGACATTACTGAACACTACTGCAGACTTTACAAACCCTGTACTCTGAGGCTACACTAAATTTATTTTAAAAATAAAGTGTGCTCTGATGTTATAACAGCTACAACATCACTAGGTGATATATACATATAGATACAGATATATAGATAGATTAGAACATTATTGAGCCTTAAAAAAGAAGGAAATGCTGCCATTTATAACAACATGAATGAAACTGGAGGACATTATGCAAAGTGAAATAAGCCAGACAAAAAAGACAAATACTGTATGCAGGATCTCACTTACAAATGAAATCTAAAAAAGTGAAACTCATGGAAATAAAAAGTAGAATGGTGGCTACCAGGGGCTCGGGGTTGGGGGAAATAGGGAGATATTGGGCAAAGTATACAAACTTTCAGTTGTAAGATGAGTGTGTTCTGAAGATCTATGTGTACCATGGTGAATATAGTTAATATATACTTGAAATTTGCTAAGAGAGTAGATCTTAAGTAGTGTCACCACAAAGAACAAAAAAGGTAACTATGTGAGGTGATGGATGTGTTAATTAGCTTGATTGTAATAATCATTTCATAATGTATATGTTTCTCAAATCTTCATGTTTTACACACCTTAAATACATTTAATTTTTATTTGTTAACTATATTTCAATGAAACAAGAGAGAAATTCCTTTGTCTTATGGAGGTATGGAGAATCCTGGGAGCACCACAATGTTTAACAATTGAGCTCTTTCATTTTATTATACAAACAAGGAAACTGAGGCTCAGAGAAGGGAGAGGTTCCCAAATGAAGCTGTTGGCAAACTGGGCCTGGAAATATGATCTGCTGACTCTCCAGGCTTGGACTTGCTGCTCAAAATGCATTGTTGGAAACAGGTCTACAGAGTTCACTGTATCACGGCTGGACTGCGGACTCCAAAGGGTGAGCAAAATCACTTATTGAATGAATGAAACACAAACCAAGGAGTCACAGCTTTGTTAGCCTAGGATAAGATCTACCCACAGAAGCATTCATTCACTTATCAGAAGATAATTTTAAATTTACTTTTAGGAAGGTTTTTGAGCAGCTAAACTTTGGACCGGCCATAAGAAAGAGCACAGGCTTTGCAAATGGACAGACCTGGGTTTAAAGTCCTCTCCCTGGCTGTGCCAACTTGATTCAGTGATGTAAACTCCCTGAGCTTCAGTGTTCTCATCTATAAAATGAAGATAATCTTCCAGGTAAGTGAAGATGAGGTGAGATAAGGAATGTAAAACACTGGTTCTATGCCCTAGGCCCAAGTAGGTGCTCAATAATGGGATGGATCGATTCAGTGCGTGCTGCAGCTGGCCCACACAGGCCCGTGGAAGCCAAGTGACTGTGTACATCTCCTCCCAATTCCAAGTCCAGTGATGCTCTTGTTTGTAGCTTGAAATGGGTCGTGATGGGAGTATTTACACCATGAAAATTAGCAAACACTACAAATCAGGACTCTTCTGAGTCACATTCAAACATTTACCAGACATTCTAGGTTATCATATTATTACTGAGAGCAGTAACAACTCATTCACTCCAGTTAGACATGATGCATGTCCGTTTGCCTAATTTTACTGATGTCACTTGCTCATTTCAACCAGAACCAGCCAATTCGACAAAAGGGTTAATTGGTTTACCCTCAGCCCCCATCTTCAGAAGCTGTGAGCCGTGCTGGGAATTCCGTCTCACAGTGTTGCAAGGAGGCACCCAATTCTGTCAAGATGGCCCACTGGACACGTTTCTTGACATAGCCTCTCACACACTCACAGAAACAGGAAGACCTTACCTCGCTTGCTCCAAGCAGAAGCTGGGTCAGCAGTTCTAGGGTTCCCAGGGGTTTTCAAGAGCCCTGTCATTGTGAGATGGTGTGTTTGTCACACACGAGCTGGTTTCTTACCCAGATCTGTCTCTGTGTGGGAGTCGGGGTCCTGTCGCTCTTCTTGAGCTCCAGGCTGCCATGTCTAGGGAAGCTCAGGGCAGACTCATCCGTGCGGACACCTCTCCCACCAACACTCCCACCTCCACCTGGAACTGACCCCCTCCCATATACCCTCCCCCACCATGCTGGTCCTCTGATGTGCCCTATGGGAGCGACATGGGGCGATGAGAAGATTCCGGCTTCTTGAAAGCCTGGGGTAGTCAGCTTCCCTGGAAAAGGGAGTGGTTGCCTGGTGACAGCGCCAGGATCTCTCCTCTACGGGCTGATCAGAAAGGGGAAGTGGTCAGGCTGGTGCTCACTGTCTCTGGGGTGAGTGAGGGCTTGTATGCGCGAGGAACGCCTCTCACCGGCTGCGCCTGAGCTGCGACATTCAGGCCACCACTGTCTCCTCAGCTGCTCGCATCTGGATACCCTCAGGTTCAGGTAAGCGCCTTGACTTTCCCAGGCACGATTTCCTGTGTCCTCCACAACAGGCAGCTGCCAGTGTTGGCCTCGGGGCTTGTGTCCTTGTGAGCCACTGCCTAGGCACTGGGCCAGGAGATGGTAGCCCGGGGCTCCAGTACAATCACTGGGTGGGGTTGGAGAAACACTGGCCTTGAAGAATCTGCTTGTTGGTCACTGGCTGGGTGACCCGAGGCAGCATTTCACTTCTCTGGGGCTCCGTTTCTTCCCGTGTAAGTTGGGGGAGATGAAGAAGTCTACCTCTCGGGCTGAACTGAGAGAGTGACTGGGAGTGAGAGGTATAAACTGCAAAGGGGTTATTCTCCCCCTCGGGATACTGATAGTGCATCTGGGGACTTGGTACATGAGAGGACCCTCAAGGTGCTGTGTTGGAGGTTGGGGTGGGCAGTGAGGCAGGGACTACGTGGACGTTAGGCTACATATTGGAGCTCTTGGATGAAAGACCTCGAACACCACCAGTCTTCGTCTTTTCATTGCATCTTTGGCATTCAGGGATTTCTAAGTTACCTTGCCTTTGGGAAGCCTCTGCTCAAGGTACGTTGAGCTGACATGAGATCTCAGTTGAGCCATCTGCTCTTGCCCTCTGGAAACTTATTTCTCAAGGAGACCTGGGTTCAACTTTGCCATATCCACTTCCACTGCCTTATGAACTCACTTGTCCCCAAGGCCACTCCCTGTCCTGGCTCCTTTGCACACATGCACCCCTGAAGGCACCGCAAAAGTAGCCACTGCAGAGCCTGGACAACGCAAGGCTTGGGAGCTTCTTTTTAAGTTTTTAGGATCTTTTTTCCCCTTCTGAAAATTTAAAAACTACTGAGAAACAGGAAAAACAATGACCTCAAATTCCATCACCTCGTAACAAGCACCGTGGAGTGTGGTGTATTGCCTTCCAGTCCTTCTTTCCCTGGGTATGGATAATTTTGAATTTTATGTATGGTTTGTTTTGATGGAAACAAATTCAACAAATAGAAATACAGACAATACTGTTGTAATCGTGGCAGAGGCACGCCCAGTCCCCTCCACTGAGAGAACAAGAAAAAGTAAGCAACAGCAAGAGGCAATTTGATTGGACCCAGAAAGGATTTCTGAGCGCTATAAAGGTGGGATAAACTTCTTAGGAAGCTGAACAATCTCCAACTCTGGAAGATTCTGCTAAAGGCGAACACACCACACAGAACATCTCTGAAACATTAGAAAGTTGGCCTATTTGTAGCAGGAACCAGAAGTTCTTTTAAAGTGTGATGTCTACATTTTGAAAATGTGCTTATTTTATGCTTAACAGAAAGGCTGGGTGGTAGAGAAACAAAGAAAGAATCTACTCTTACATACTAAAAAATCAAAATCATGTTTTCCACATTTTCTTCCAGTTGTCTCCAGCCACATAATCAGGTAACATTATGTGAACATGTGGCTACAGCACAATCTTATATTCTGGTTTTTTCATTTTGTATGATCCCCCAATAATTCTCTCATGATATTTTCTTCCTAATTATCACTCCGTTGCTGCATCCTATCCCATCAAGTAATTCTGTAATTTACTTCACCAATCCCCCACTGTTTGACGTCTAGGTAGCTCCCTGTTTATTTATACCGAGGTAAACATATTTATGCATTTAGCTTTTACTTTCTTTGGATTACTTATTAGACGAGACTTCTAGAAATGATGTTATTGAATTAAAGAACATGACCATTTTTGGAATGTATTACCATTTGCTTTCAAAAAAATTTTTAAATCCATGTAGACTGCCACTGGCTACTCGGAAGAATCAGTTTCACCACAACTTTGACAGAATAGGACTTTATCATTATTTTTCATTTTTTGTTAGCAAAAAATAGTTTCTAACTGTGGACAAATGAATATGCCAGGCAAGCAATCAAGTATGACGGCTGAGCATATATGAACAGAATTTACTCCTATACTCCTACTCCTATGAAATAAATCAGACTCAAGATTAATCTGAGAGGTATGATGGTCTGATCAACTATCACACTGAAAAACGCATGCGCAGTCAACATGACTCAGCTCAGCCAAAGACCTGTATAATTTGCCGTCTCCGCCTTAGTTCTCTAGGATTTATATTCAGAATCAACATCTTTTTTATCGAACAATAAGTAGGAAATCAGCATTATAGTGTAATATAAAATTCAAAAATATAGAATAAGGATATTATCAAAAGTTATTGCATTCAAATGAGTACTATAAACCTGTTGCTATCATCCCATATGAATAAGCTACTATTATATTGTGCCCCTTACTTCAGTATAGAAGAATATGATTAATTTCTTAATCATAAAAAGAATATGGGCTGGGTGTGGTAGCTCAGGCCTGTGATCCTAGCTCTTTGGGAAGCCAAGGTGGGAGGATCACTTGAGGCTAGGAGTTTGAGAGCAACCTGAGCAACGACAGCAAGACCCTGTC